CCAACCAGGATCAGGGCCCCCCTTGTGCCAGGCGCTGCCCAGACCCCGCCCGAGAGTGGAAGGGGAAGCAGGCACAGAGAGGAACAGTGACTTGCGCAGGGTGACCCCCAAGTTGAGTGGCTCAGCTGCACCAAGGACTAACCAGTAGCCCACAGCGGGATGAACAGTCTTGTGCTGGGATTACCCTGCCATGTTATTAATCAATCCCCCACTTTATACCATGACCAACAGCCAGCCCACCACTTAGCCCGCAGCGACCCACACCGCTGCGCAGGCCTCTTTCGGGCGCGGGCCCCCAGGCCCTTCCCTCGCTGTCATTCCCAGGGGGTGTTAAACTTCCAGCTCGGAGCACAGCCTAGAGAGCTGAGTCCTTCAAAAACTCCCAGCGGCCCCCAAAGCTCGCGTGGAAAGCAAAGGGTCTTAGTGCTGCTTGCATCAAAACGCTCTCTCCTATGGGCGTTCTAGGGAGAGCAAGAGATGGGCCTAGCGCCCCCAGCAATCGGCAACGCTCCCTGCAGTGCCTGGGGGCGCTGGGCCCTTGCCGAGGTTTCTGGAGCTAGAGCGTTGGGGTCCGCAGCCCTGGGTGGAGATTGCACCTGGCTGGACTGGCGGAGGCGGGTGGGGCTCGGGCCATTGCAGCGCTTCGCTTTGGAGAACGCGCCTCTCCTGCGGCCCTGTCCCGATCAGTTCCCCCTGCCCGCCACAACAGCAAAACAGCTGGGGGGGAGAGGATCAGCGCCTGCCTTTAACCAGGTAGGGTGACCAGACAGCAAGTGTGAAAAATCGGGCCGGGGAGGTGAGGGGTAATAGGAGCCTATATAAGAAAAAGAGCCAAAAATCGGGACTGTCCCTATAAAATCGGGACATCTGGTCACCCTACTTTAACCAGGCGGCGTGCCCTCGTTTAGGGCTGTGGGGGGCCTGTTACCACCCAGGCTAGTTTTGAGAGGTGGCCCCTTTAAGAACAGGGGGAGCGTCATCAGACCCAGCTGAAAATGGGCAGGGCCAGGAGATTGAGTCATGTGACTGCCAGCCGGGGAGTATAAAAGGTTCCCAGCTGGGGCAGGGGAAGGTTAGCTGCAGGATGGGTCTCTAGGGAGGAAGTAGCGGAGTGATGTCTGGGGGTTGGGAGATGGGTGGGGAGACCTGGAGACCGGGGAGACCCACAGCTGGCCGGCCTGGGGGGAAAGGGTCTGATGTAATTTGAACTGGCTTGAATTCAGGGAATGAGAAACCCCATGTGCCCTAAAGAAAAGTGACTGGAATGCTACCATTGGGGGGGTGTTTGCCATACTGGGGGGCCACTGGCTTCGTCTCCATTACCCTGCACCGTAGCCGTATTCACGGCTGTGCCGGTTTCCAGGGACAGCGACTGTCCTGTTGTTCTGGGTGTGGTGCGGACCCAGCTCAGCAGGTTCCTAGCCCGTGACCAGGGCTCCGAGGTGTGAGTGCCACAGGAGTTAATGACTCGG